ATGTATGCAAACAAAAGTTAAGAAAGAAAATTGAATGAAGTAATAATTTGAGGGGGCATGCATAGATAGTTTTGTGAACATATATACAAATAGATCAAAATTAAACTATTAAGTAAAAGAAATATTATAATATTCTCTTAGCATCTACCTATACTCACATACTAGAAAAATTATAATTATGATAAACGAACCTGTCTGTCAAATTTTAAATTTAGTAACCTTAAAATTAGTGAGAAAAAAGAAAACATTCTTCAGTAACTAAATCGGCACTAATTAATTGATTTTTACTATATTAGAAAAAAATTAAAATTATATATATATAACATGTATGTACCCGTTGACTCAGAAAATATTTTAAAATTAAAACTATTTTTAAGAAATGTGATAGATTAACTCACTATAATTATAACATATTAAAACTAATTTTTTATCAATACAAACTTATATATATATATATATATATATATATATATATATATATATTTAAATATAATTTTACTTATATAAATGTTTCTTATATCTTTAATTATTAATTAATATAATTTTTTTATAAATTAAAAAATAACTATATTTATATATTAAAATAGTAATTATATTTATTATTTTATATTTAATTTATTAATATTTATAATATAAATTACAACACTATATAATATCTGTATATTTCAAGGACGTAATATAAAATGTAAATTTACTTTTTATAAATTATAATTATTTTGTTTTATTTTAATATATAAATTAAAGAAGAAAAAAACAGGTAAACCAATCAGTTTATTCAACTCTCACATTGACAGTTGGATTGGTAATAAAACAGAACAAAGCAAAATGTATTTTTTAATTATTAATCGGTCAATTAATTTAAAATGGTTTGGGAAGCTTGAGTTAGATCATTAGGTCTAGTCTCATTTGTTACCCATGAATAAATAATTTATTTTTCACTATTTTTTAATATATATATATTAGAATAGGAAGCAAAGGATTTGGGAGTACCAATGAGATTAACACCACAGAATTTTGCAAGGATTCGAAATTTCACATTTAATAGATAAAAGTTGATGAAAGCAGTTAGGATCTTATGTCCAGAGAAGTATGGTTCATGTCTTTATTTTGTTTTTAATGCATTCGTACGTTAAATATGTTCACAGATTTCAATGATTATTTAGAAAATCAACTATATATGTTTTATTATTCTAATTATAATATAAGAATTGTTAAAATTGAAAATACAAAAGTTTGTTGAGAATGATAAAATTAATAGGAGTTCAATTTTACCACAACTAAAAATTAAAGAAGTTAGAATACAACTTATTTTACTTGATGTTTCTAGTAATAAAACAAGTATTTCTTGAATTGTTATGCCAAATAACAATAAATTAAAAAAAAAACAATGCAACGATGAATAGATTATTCAAAATAAATCTACCATAGAAGAATTATAAAAAGTAGCATTGAGGAGGTCCAAAGAAAAAAGAAATTAATTATTTTAAATGATTATATGATATATTTATATGAGTCGGTCTGATGGCAAATAATTGGATGCCATAAAAGAAAAGTTGACATCCATGGACATAATGATATTTTAGATATTGTAGAATCATCAAATAGTTGAAAAAGAGTTAAGTACAAGTGAATTTGAAGACTAAAGGACATTCTCACGATAACTTTTGAATTTATAATATTAGACTTGTTAAAGAGTTTCACTAAAAAAGAAAATATTGATTATATAAAATCATTTTCACTAATCTTACAAAGGATTCTTTTATAATTATCATGACATTTATAGTCCATTATAATTTGGAATTATATCAAAGGATGTGAAAATAACATTTTTTAATGGAAATTTGGAGAAAAATGTCTATATGGTCCAACCAATGGGGTTTTTAATTGAAGGAAAGGAGTACATGGTGTGTGTCACAATCAAAATCATGACGGGACAACAAAAAATATGTTTCTAAATGCAAGAAATTAATAAAGACGTTATCATTATTTATTTTAAGAAAATTATAGGAAAAAAAACCTTAAAAAAAAAGATTTGTGAAACAAAAGTTTGATCCGAGAGTCGATTATATGTAAGAAAGATATTAATACCCTATAACATCTATTCTAAAAAATGGTTATCTTTAATTAAATGTAAAAAAATTAAATATCTTTAAATTATTTATTTTATTCCTCAATATGATATAACCATTGAATGTTATTACTAAAAACAATATTATATATTTTTATATTTTTGGTTGGACGAGATATTATCTCTCACCTCCTACATATCCATAGGTGCAATAGAGAATCAGAGTGACGTAGTTCTTTCTTTAAAAAAGAAATTGTGAATACTTTATTTTAATTTATCTATTTGTGTTACTAAATTAAAGACATGTCTATAATTATTTTAAAATTGAATCATTATGTAATAATCAAATTAGAAATACATCTAAAGTGATTGTCATTTTTATGTAATAATTAAATTGGAAGTACACCCAAAATAATAATTAATATTTAAATACTTATAATTCCTATTTGGATTAAAATTTATTTTTTAATATTTTATTATAATCAAGTCAAAAAATATATTTGAGGTGATTATTATAATTTTATAACAATCAAATTAGATGTATATCCAAACTGGTTAATTTTTATGAAATATTATGTTACAAGCCTAATAGTAATAATATTACATATTTAATAATTCTATGAAATAATATTCGAGAAAAGAAAATGATAATTATTGAAATTTAATTTAAAATATATTAATAATGATATACTAATTTAAATCTTTTTTAAGAAAAGAAGTGAAATTATTTTTATTTAAAATTTGAATAATAAAGAAAATAAAAAATAGTCTTTCAGCTTTGTTACTATTTGTAACATTTTTTTTGTTATATTGTCACAAGTTTAACAAAAAAATATTAGGCCTAATAACTCATAGAAATAAAAATACTTTTATATATATTTTACTATTTGAAACTTATTTTAGTTATTTTCACCCACAAACCCAAATAGATTTTTTTTTAACTGAATCCACTTGGACCATGGGCCTAAAAGTCTCCTACCAATCTATTGGACCCAAAAATTAATTTGTTTCACTATTTAAAGTCTGTTTTCATGATTTCCACTCCCAAGCATCTCCTTCTTCAACTCAGGTCTCTTTTAAACCTTAATACACTTAACCGTGTCAAAGTAAGTTAACCCGAGGCTCACCATAGACTGAGTTGAAAATAAGCGAGCTCAACCCGACTCACTTTATGATGAATTATAAATTTCACAACTTGGCTCAACCCACTACGGGTTGGTGGGTTAAGTGGGTTGACTCACTAACCTACATTTTTTTTTTCTAAAGCACGACTGAATAGCAGGATTGAATGTAATCACGTGGTGACACAATAGACTCTGTAATGCAACTGAAATGCAGCAAATACTATGATACAACTGAAACACGGTAACATAGTAACGCAATGAATGCACCGGTGCGACGAATGAGGTGGTGAGACAAACATTGTGGCGCGATTGAAATACGAGAGTGATACATTGTGGCGTTGGCATTGACAAAAGTTATGATACGATTGAAATGCGAAACTGAAACACGACAAATATTGTAACATAATTAATGATAACTTTGAGTGTGAATTTGATTTGTAGTGATGACATGGAATAGAGGTGGAGAAAAAAAATTAATTAAAATTACTAAATTATTATTAATTATTTTTAAAATTTAAAATGAATGGTGGATTGCGGGTCAACCCACCATAACCCCTGGGTTAAGTGAGTCAGGTTCATTTTTAACCCATTATTGATATAAATGAAACCTAACCCGACTCGAACCCATGGTGAGCCGGGTTGGTTCATGGGTTAGAACCCATATTGATACCTCTACCTAGGATGACAATTAAACTCGTACCTGTGGAAATCGACTCGTCCCCGCCGAGTTGATCGGGGCGGGAATGGGTAATGCAATCTCCATCCCGACCCCGTCCTCATCCACGTCCCCACCCCAACTTTATATTTAAATTTAAAATATAAAATATTAATATTTTAATTTTTTTTATTTTTTTATTACATATAAGGTTGTTTTTTTTATATTTTACCATTTTTACTTTTCTTCTACCCACTTTTTTTTATTTTTTTAATCTTTTATATCAATTAATTTATTATATTATTCTCTTTCTCTTGTCTTTCAGTTTCTCATATTTCTTTAATCTCTCCAATCAATTTGTTTTTTTTTTCAATCTTTTCAACAAATTGAATGAATACAAAGTTTTTTTTTCTTTATCTTTTTCTAAATATTTTACATAAATCTTAATAGTAACTAATATTATTTTATTTATAATTTATATTTATTAGATTTTATTATGTCATATTTTTTAATCTTATTATTCTTATTTGTCATATATCAAATTTTATCTTAATAAAATAATTATATTTTAAAGGATTAAAAAGAATTGATAATTTAAACTTTTATTACTTCAAACTAATTAAATAAGAATTAGCTTATTAAATAATTCCTTATAAACAATATGTTTCATATTTTAAAATGACAACTTGAAAATAAATTAACTTATATATGCAATCAAATGTTTAAATATAATAATACAATAATAATATAAGTATTCAAATATTTGAATACGGTGTTATAATAATAATAATAATATTATTATTATTATAAATATTTTATATATATAAATAATAAATAATAAATGATTAAATATTTATTTTACATACATATTTTAATATAAATATAATAAATTAAAAAATATATTTAATTAATATTAAATACAAATTGTAAATTTATAAATATTTATATAGTAAAATTAATTTATTATAAATATAATTAACTTTTTAAAAATAATATAGATCGGGGAAGAAGGCAGGAGCAGGAAAATCCGAAACCCAATGAGGATGGAGATGAAGACTTAATTTCTAATATTGACGGGATGTTGGGACGGAGACAGAGATGGTTAAAAAAGTCAAGAGTGGAGATCGGGGAGAACCGGTTGTCATGCTCACCTCTACCTAACCTCAATACAAAGAAGAAGTAACTCGTAAGAAAGCCAAGTGAGAGTGGGCACGACAGGGAACAACACCTCCAACAAGTGGTCGCGCAGTGGGGTTGAGAGTGATCGTGGTTGGCTCGTGATGGCCCCACGGTGAGAGGCCCGCAATGGTAGAGTGGTGGTGAGCAGTGAAGTGCACAAAGGCGTGATTGAGTGTGGTGATCCTAGGGTGACTTGCGGATGATGACCGAGTGCAGAGTGGTGGAAATGGGTGAGGCTTGGTTCGATGATGGGGTTTAACAACCACGATGGAGGCATTGGTTGAGGCTGAGTGAAGCGATGCGACGACGGTAGATTGTATTTTGAATTTTTTTTATTGTTTTAGAAAAAAGATTCATATGTTTGAAATATCTACATCATTGGGTGGAGTCATACAATTAGAGTGGAATCATATTACTAACATAGTAATATAACATGAACAATAAGCTAAGTCACAATCATATAACAATTTTGTTCGTAAATTTCACCAGAGAATTTCCTTTGAATTTGAACATCGTTGTTATATTGTTTGTGGTTCCAGTATTTGTTTTGTTGTGTTGTTTGTGGTCCCTATTTAGTGTTTTTATGTGATTATTTTCTTGATCTTTTTTTCTGTGAGATTTTTTAATCCTTCAATTTATAAAGAAACCCTTACTATTGATGAACTCAATCTCAGATAACATGTTGGTGGCTACATGTTGTGGTTGGAACAATGTAGTAGAGAGGGTGAATCATGAAAATGAGACTGACTCCCATGGGCAAAGGAAAATAATGTTTTTCTGTTTTTTAATTTGATGTATTTGGAATTTTTCATTTACTTTATCTATTCTATGGAAAAAATGAGGTATTTACAGTGTGCAAATTGAATAAATCAATATATATTTTTAGGCAAGCTTCCCACCAATGGTATTTTAAGTTTAAAGACACTATTATTTCCTTTGGGTTTAAGGAAAATACTATTGATCAGTGTATAAATCTAAAAGTTAGTAGGAGTAAGATTGTATTTCTAATTCTATATGTTGATGATATCTTACTCGTAACTAATTATATTAGTCTTCTTCATGAGACTTAGAAATTTCTCTCTAATAACTTTGAAATGAAACATATGGGTGGGACAAGTTATATGATAGCAATAAAAATATTCTGAAATATATAAAAAAGAATGTTATGTCATCCCATAAAGCATATATAAGTAAAGTATTAGAGAGAGTCAAGATGGAAAAGTATTCAACATCACCCGTTTCAATTTAGAAATGAGACAAGTTTAATATTATTCAATATCTTAAGAATGATTTGGAATGAAAACAAATGAAAGTAATTTCGTACACATTTGTTGTTGAAAGTATTATGCATGCTCAGACTTATACTCAACCAAATCTAATCTTTGTACCCTAGGCATGACAACGGGGTGGGGTGGGGCGGGGTGGGTTTTGCCTCCTTGATCCCTGCCTCGACTTTTTAATCATCCCCGTCCTCGCTGGGTTTCGGATTTCCCCACCCCGCCCGTCCCCGTCTCGTCTCCGATCTATATTATTTTTAAAAAGATAATTACATTTATAATAAATTAATTTTACTATGTATTTTTTATATATAAATAAATATTTATAATTTTATAATTTATAATTATTATTAATTAAATATATATTTTAATTTATTATATTTATATTGAAATATGTATGTAAAAAAATATATTTAATCATTATTTATATATATATATATATAGAATATTTATAACATTATTATTATAATACTGTATTCAAACATTTAATTACGTATATAAGTTAATTCATTTTTAAGTTGTCATTTAAAATATGAAATATATAGTTTATAAGGAAATATTTAATAAGTTAATTTTTATTTAATTAGTTCGAAGTAATAAAAGTTTAAATTATCAATTCTTTTTAATCCTTTAAAATACCATTATTTTATTAAGAGAAAATTTGATATATGATAAACAAGAATAATAAGATAAAAAATATGACATAATAAAACCTAATAAATATAAATTATAAATAAAATAATATTAGTTACTACTAAGATTCATGTAATAAAGAAAAAAATTAACTTTATGTTCATCAAATTGGTTGAAAAGACTGGAAAAAAAAAACAAATTGATGGGAGAGATTAAAAATTTAGTAGGAGTAAGATTATATTTCTAATTCTATATGTTGATGATATCTTACTCGTAACTAATGATATTAGTCTTCTTCATGAGACTCAGAAATTTCTCTCTAATAACTTTGAAAGAAATGAAACATATGGGTGAGACAAGTTATATGATAGGAATAAAAATATTCTGAAATATATAAAAAAGAATGTTATGTCATCCCATAAAACATATATAAGTAAAGTATTAGAGAGATTCAAGAGAGAATAATGTAATAAATTAATTGATATAAAAGATTAAAAAAGACAACAAAATTTAAAAGTGGGTAGAAGAAAAACATTAATGGTGAAATATAAAAAAATGACCTTATATGTAATAGAAAAAGAAAAAGAAATATTTTAAAGATATTGATATTTTAAAATTTAAATTTAAATATAAAGTCGGGGCGGGGGTGGGGCGGGGATTGTATCACCCATCCCCACCCCTGCCCCTGGTCAACTCGGGTTTTTTCCGTCAAACTCGGGACGGGGACGGGTCAGTCCCCACGGGTACGAGTTTAATTATCATTCCTAATAGCCAGAATGTTAGGAAGATACTAGAATAATATGAAAATGACATATTAGAAAGATGCAAATAAAGCTTTGAAATACTTGTAGGGAACAAAGAATTACATGTTTACATATAAGAGGTCTGATCATCTTGAGGTGATTGGATATTCAGACTCTAATTTTGCTAAATGTGTGGATACGAGAAAATACACTATTAGTTATGTATTTCTTTTAGCCAGAGGATCAATATCATGCAAAAGTGCAAAACAATTCGTTGTTGTTGCATCTACGATGAAAACAAAATTTATAACATGTTTTGAGGATATAATTCAGGCTAATTGATCTTGAAACTTTATTTTAGGAATTGAAATTGTCAACAATATTGTGAGATCATTAAAAATGTATTGTGATAACTCCACAACAATATTTTTATCTAAAAACAAGAAGTTCTCTAAAGGTTTTAAACATATGGAGTTAAAGTATTTTATCGTAAATGAAGAAGTTAAGAAACAAATAGTGTCAATAAAACATATTAGCACACATCTTATGATAGATGACCATTCAACAAAGGGATTACAATCCAAAATATTTACTGAACATGTTGAAAACATGAGTGTTATTGTTAGAAATGATTTTTCAGATGTTTTTTATGTACTAAATGATTGACACTTTAAGTCCAATTATTATGAGATGTTTCTAATTATTTGTTCTCCATAATTTCATGCATAATTGCATTAAAGTAACGTAGATAGGCACTATCTTGAATAAAGACATTATGCTAGACCAATTATGAGCTCCTAATTATGTTTATATTGAGAAAAAGACTATATGTTATTTTATTTTTTATTTTTATAAATGTATGCAATGTCACATGAGTCAAGTGAGAGAATATAAGTTTTATGTCTAATGTGATGAGCACCTAACTTGTTAAGAGAGAGAAGATAAATAAATAGTAAAGAGCTAAATGGTAAATGTGTAAAATGGGAGTAATTTTTGACATGGTTATCAAAACTGGATCGGATCAGTCGATTAGATAGGGAATCAGTTCGATAACCAGTCTGAAACTCCCTAAACATCAAAAAAACAATAAACTGGTCAAAAATTAGATAAACCGGTGAAACCGAACGGATCAAGGGGTCACCTGTTCTTTTAAAATGGCTAAACAATGTTGTTTTATTCTACATTTTTTTTCTTTAGTTTAACACAGAGACACGTACATGAAGACAAAAAGTTTTTTATATTGATAGTGGTATTCTTTTTTCAATATAGTCTTCGTTCTTGCCATTGTCCATCATCACTGTCATCCACTATCTTTAATTGTCTCCTTCCGGGGTCACTGATAAGTGCCAAAAAATAATAAATTTTCATATGGAATGATGACACTGTTGTTTCAACTTTTGTATATTTGGTATTAATTTTCCCTAATTTAAGAATGATGAAATATAATCATATGTTTCTGAGTTTTAATTAAAAAGAAAATAATTTGATCCTCATTTTGTATATGTTTCAGGTAAATTAAGAGAGAAGGAGAAAGGAGCTTAAAAGAAGAAGAAGAAAGGAAGAAACAAAGAAAAAAGACATGAAATTCTACCATAACTCGCTCAAGTTAGAATGGTATCGCCTAAGCGAGATTCGTCCAGAGAGTGATCAATTTGAAAGTCATTATCGCCTAAGCGGAAATTATCTCGCTTGAGTGAGATTTGTCTAGAGAGCGATCAATTTGAAAGTCATTCTGGCTTAATTGAGAATAATTTAACTTATGCGAGAACTCGTACAGTATATATACTTTGTGGTTTAGAATGTGAGGCGACGAAAAAGAGGGGTGCACTGATTTTGACAAGATTAGGGAAAGCTCTTCTCCAGTTTTAGCTTTAAGGTTTTTCTTTTTCTCTTAGGATGTCAATGACTACCATGAGTGATTAATATTTTCTTTTGGGATTGAATGTAATCGATTCGAACTCGGATGAAATATGATGATATCTATGTATAGTTTTTCTGTTTGTATTCAATATTGGCATTTTTGTTTTATTCTTAATGATTGATTCTATCTAATCAATAGATTCGTGAATGTGATTTTTAGACTTGACTGAAAAGTATTTCTGAAAATCTGATCTGAACAAAAATACTTGATGTATTGTGATGCTAGGAATAAATTTCAGTATATCAATTGTTTTTAACATTTGAAAAGAATCCTGGACAATTTGTTGGATATGTAAGGAATCGATATCCAGGGAATTGGTCTTATGAATTTTATACGTGAGGAATCAATATAAATGATTATTGTGTGTTGCATCAATATTGGTAAATTTAGATGTTATATGTTTATATTCATCCATATTACAGAAGAGTGAGATAGATGAAATTCAATCTCAACTTCTCTCTTTGAATCTTTTTTAATCAATCTACTGCCATTATATTATTTTCATGCAAATTTAGTATAAATCATTATTATCAATCATGAATCAAATGGATATCCTTGTATATATGTTATTTGAGATAAACTATTTGTTTTAATTGAACCAGTTCATTGTGAGATCGACACTTTCACTAAAAAAATTTTATACGACATTTGACTATTGGTACGCTTGCTAAGAGATCAATAATCACCCTTGTTGTCATCGTGG